TAACTTATTTTTGCAGTCCTTAATGTGCTATTATGAAATTAGGTAGCTCTTTAAAAATCTAGTGAAAGCACTGTCAATATGTACATGCGAACCTCGCCATCTGCAGGGGATACGTTCTTGTATCCCCTGTGAATGGTGAAATCTGTGAATAAGTTCATGAATGCAGTGCCTCTGGCAGCTGGGGGGCAGTGTGGCTCCGGCAGGAGCGTGGCAGTGGGAGCCCGGTGGTGGCAAGCGCGGAGCTCCCAGTTAAGTGTATAAAGTGTATTTAAAATGCAGGTTCAGCATTTGTGAATATTTGAAACCACGAATGCTGAACCCACGAATAGCGAGGGTTTCCTGTATACTGGATTTTTAATGGACTTTGTGCTTACAATTCTTCCTTTTAGGTATTTTATACTTCATAAACAAATTGCTTATTACTGTGTCATAAATCATACCTGTAATTCAGTGATTCTCAATCTGGGTGTCAGGACCCAGCCCACTGCCTAGCCCTCTGCAAGCACAGTAATAAGTAGTTTTTGAAATAAGATCCTGCTCAATTCACAAAAATTATGGAGGGGTGCCTTGGGTCAAACAAGTTTGAGAACCACTGTTGTTGCATACATCATTTCAAAGTCATTATGAAATCATTTGTAAAGAAATAAATTTGGGGAGGAAAAAGGAGTTAATCCTAACAGAGATGGTTGCAGAGGGCATGGAAAAGGCCTGGGGATTTGGGAGAGGACTATTTAGGGACAGAGTCTATGGGAGGGGTGTGTTATGAAATCCAGTGGTAGCTGGATGTGGGAGTACAGGAAAATTGTCCTTGTGCCTTGAATGGGAAACTAGGGGACCTGTAGAAGTCTGAGTGTAGACAGGAAGAGGAATTAAGAGAGGTGATTTATAAAAGGAGGGCATGTGGGACCTGGCAGTAGCTAAGCACAGAGGGACAAGCTTGCATTCCATTTCACCACAGCACTGGGGCCAATCCCACATGAACCCATGCACGCCGTCAGGCACTTTGCATGTATGGATGCATATACTCATCCCCATGCAAAAACACCACCATATATACACTTCCTTGTACACAGGCTGTGAAAACACACACACAAGCACCAGCTCTCTCAAGCTGCCAATCTCCCTGCCAATCAGCAAGGTTTAACTTTCTGCTGGAGCTCTGGTCCCCTCTGCACTGGAGTTTGAATTCCAGCACCTAGGCAAGCAAAATAATTTAATAACTGCAGGCCAATGACAGGTCCAGCACACAACACATGTTCATGTCAGGAGAGATGAGGTTTAGAAAGACACAAAAGTGTTTTTTAATCACAAATGTAACTTTTATTCTGGCTAAAGAGTCAAGAGATTATTAACAGGTTTCCTTTCATCACAGTGCTGTGGGAGTGTTCAGTACACTTGCTGCTCTGCAGTGCTTGTGTTCTTGGCAGCTGTACCCCAAGGAAGTGTTTTTTTTACGTACTAAAATAAAGATACGGTCTTCTAACATTGCTGATAGTTTGTTCAGGCCCAAGCACTTGTAGTGAACATGCAGGGCCACACAGGCCAGCGAAGGCCATTCATCAGCCCTCAGCTTATTCCATGTCCACTCCCATCCACTCTCCTGCCAGCAGAACTAGAATAGGAGGTAACTCCTTACGGATCCAGAAGAGGAAGCAGTACGCAGCATGATTTCTTTCTCTTGCCGCTGCTGGTCCACCTCTAGCACTGGGGTCCTAAAGATCCAGATAATGGTTCTGTAATAGATATCCTATGTTATTGCTGCCTTCTCATCTCCTGCATCTGCATGAATATTTCCTACCCTATATAT